AAAATTCCCAAAAATTCCCAAAAATCCCCCCAAATCCCCCAAAATCTGCCCAAAATTCCCAAAAATCCCCAAATTTCCCTCATTACCTGCAGGGCGGGGAAGGCCATGGCCACGGCCAAACCCTGCCCAAAATCCCCCCAAAATCTCCCATAAAATCCCCCAAAATTCACCAAAAATCCCTCAAAATTCACCAAAAAATTCCCAAAAAATTCCCCAAAAATCCCCAAATTCCCCAAATTTCCCTCCTTACCTGCAGGGCGGGGAAGGCCATGGCCACAGACAAACCCTCACCAAAATCCCCGAAAAATTCCCATAAAACCCCTCAAAAATCGCCGAAAAATCACCCAAAATCCACCAAACTTCACCAAAAAATTCCCAAAAAATTCCCAAAATCCCCCAAAATCCCCGAATCCCCCCCACACCTGCAAGGCGGGGAAGGCCATGACTATGGCCAAACCCTCCCTGAAATCCCCCAATATTCCCCTAAAAATTCCCATAAGACCCGTCAAAAATCACCCAAAATTCACCAAAAAATTCCCAAAAAATTCCCAAAAATCCCCAAATTCCCCCTCCTTACCTGCAGGGCGGGGAAGGCCATGGCCACGGCCAAACCCTCCCTGAAATCCCCCCAAAATCTCCCATAAAATCCCCCAAAATTCACCAAAAAATTCCCAAAAAATCCCCAAAATCCCCCAAATTCCCCAAATTCCCCGGGTACCTGCAGGGCGGGGAAGGCCATGGCCACGGCCGTGTTGCTGGCCCAGTTGAGCAGCCCGGCCAGGGCGAGCGCGGCGGCGCGGGGCCCGGGCGGGAAGAGCTCGGCGCCCACGAACCAGGGCAGGGGCCCCGGCCCCACGGCGAAGAACCCCACGAAGGCCAGCGCCGAGCCCAGCGCCACCGCGCCCCAGAACGGGCCGCCCAGCTGGCAAGGACGGGAAAAGGTCGGCGAATTCGGGAATTTTTTTGGGAATTTTTTAAAGATTTTTTTCGATTTTTTTTGGAATTTTTTCGGGATTTTTTTCGATTTTTTTTAGAATTTTTTTCGATTTTTTTTT